CTCATACACGCCCTTGTGAATATTGGTGAATAGTGTTGGATGACTGGATGATGATCGATGGATGGGTGGGTGGAAGGTTGGATGTGTAGTTAATCCTAGTAATTTTGACAAGATCCATTTGGTGAGATCTTAAACGGAACTTGTCTAAGCTATTGTGCTAGACGGAACATCCACTGTGATGAACATTTCTCTCCTTAACTAGAAGGCAAATGGTGAGATACCCTATACCCAATCCGGAAGCACTGAAGGGATAGGCTAAGTAAAAATACACAAAGCCTCTTTATGCTACAGAGTCAATAGCCACTTATTGTTTAGTTCCAAACTTTGGGAAGGGAATTTTATTTACTGGCCCACATATCCCCAACAGATGCTGTTGCTATTTATTTCTGACATTTCCTTTTCTAAACTATCATATTCAACTAACTCTCTCTTAAGTAAAGACATTTATTAGGTACTGACACCATCAGGCATTGTGCTAAAAACTAAATAGATTATTTCATAATCCTAATTACAGAGAGAGACTATGGATATCCAATTGAGAAAATAAATTGCCCAAGATCACAAGATGAGCAAGTGGCAAAGCCCATGTCTGTCTTCAAGTATGTTAATATCTAGCTGTTTTAACGTAACTATTAGCTGTCCTATAATCCAGCCCCTGCTTTGTTTTCATCTACCTGTATGCACCCTTCCTTACTTTCCCTCCTTAATCTCATATCCATACAAAAAATTGTCATTCTCTAGAGCATTTGAGATCTTGCTTCCCAGCATTTGTCATGGGTTTTGAGTTAAATAAACTCATTAAAATCCTCAAAAAGAATTCTTAAAATTCTATAGTTTCAAAATTCAAAGTGGTTTTTCCCTGACTAACATCAAGGTGTCAGCAGGACTGCGTTTCTTTCTGGAAGTTCTAGGGGAATTGTTTTCTTGCCTTTCCCAGCTCCTAGAGGTTGCCTACTCCCCTCAGCTTGTGTTCCCTCCTCCAAAGGCAACAGTGATAGGTCGAGCCTTTCTCATATTGTGCTACTCTGACCCAGATATTCCTGCCTCTCTCTTCCACATTTAAGGACTCTTATGATTACACTGGGCCCACCCCCCCCCAAAAAAAATCCCAGGATAGTTTCTTCTTTTTTTAGATTGTCTGATTAGAAACCTTAACTCCATCTGGAACCTTAATTACCTTCTTGTTATGTAACCTAACATACTCCCAGGTTTGGGAAATTAGGACATAGACATTCTGTTGGGGATATTATTCTGTCAACCATCACTGGTAATGACTATGCTGAAAAGAATTCTGAGGCCATGTTTATATTCATCAGGAAAGAGAATCATGGCCAATTAGCAATATTTCCCATGGATTCAAAGAAGGGAAGGCCATATATATTCCAACCTACTGTAGATGCAGGCTAAAAGAAGGAGAAATTTCAAAATATCTAGTGAGAGGGGTGACTTGCCAGTCTATATGCTCTAGCACTAGCTGCAAGGGCCCATATAGGGGATTGCTCCAATGATCTGTCTTCTCTTCATTGGCTGGAGCTCCTTGTCTCTTCTTGGCAAGCTGAGCTCCTCCCAGGCTCCAGGTATAACCCTGTCCTTCATGATCTGTCCCCAGGGGCAGGATAGCAACAGGTCTGGTGCTAGGTGCTGGATATATAGTTAGGAGAGGACACAATACTATAGGCAGGGTACAGAGTGGAAACGCTTACCCTCAAAATGGGGAGACAGATGCAAACACATGGCCTCACAAGGTGAAATATTCTTACTTTCCCAGCATCACTGGTCCTGTGCTTTCTACCTCTGTGGCTGTGCTGAGACTGCCCAAAATGTTTTTCTCTCTTCTGTTACCCTCAACATTACTCATTCCTCAAACCCCATTCCCTCATTGGTCTGCCCCTGCTGGAAGAAAATCGACTTCTCATTGTTCTTTCCTTTTTTAATGTACCTGAGGCTACTGATGTTTGCATGTTCCACCAATACTTAAGTGAAGACCCACTCTGTGCAAGGCACTGCACCTGACACTGGGGACATCCTGGGGATAAAAGATACCGATATGGCCCCTTTTCATGGAAATGACAGGCTAGTGGGGAGATATGAGTCGAGGAACCACACCACTGTTAGATCTAAAGGGGCACCTGGGATCATTGTGACAGTGAAAAGGTACATGTATTCTAAGAGTTATGAGGCTGCCTTGGGGAAGTGACAGCTGACCTGAAATCTGAAGACTGAGTAGAAATTAACCAGGTGAGGAAGAAAGAGAAGGGCATTCCAGGCAGAATATCTAGCTGTGTTGGGGGAGAGCACGGGCTGTTAGCGATCCTCAGAAAGGAAGCCAGCGGCTGGAGAGGAGGGGGTCAGTGTGAAGTGGGAGGAGGTGGATGAGGTAGGCAAGCTCTGGGCTCTGTTCTGCCTTCCAGTAACTAACTAACTGTGTGCCCACACATTTGCCCTTAACTCCACTGGGAGCACCTTCATTTAGTCTATACCAGCCCTTTGTGTTTAGGATTATATAAGAAATTTTGGCTATGATGTCAAGTTACAGGCCGACTTAAATAGGGATTAACAAAAAGAGTCCTGTACTCCTGAGAATGCGGGAAATGGCCCCTCTGTCTTGAACAAAGTGGAGCTGAGACATAGAATCGGCTTTCTGTTTCTTTATGATAGATCCGACCAAAGTGAATGCAGTGTTTCTCTACCAACTGAAGTGTCCAAAATGTGTGCATTAAACTCTAACACACTTAGATCTAAAATTTGAGAATTCCTTGGCATACTGGGGTGGCACCACTATAAGCTGGGGTGTATGTGTGTATCTAGAGATGATAGACTGGTGACATTTGTAGTCCCAATTGTAGCTTGCATTAAATAGGTACAATAATGGATAATAAATATTAAACTGAATTTTAGGATGAGAGCCATTGTATCATCAATAAATTCATACATTTAGGACTATTTTCTAGGAATCTGGTTAAGAAAGTGGCTCAATGTTGTACAAAAAGCACTGGCTCAGATGCAGGAAGACAATATTCTGGTTCTCGCCCTTGGTCTGCCTGATGAAGAATCTCCTGGGTCCTGGGCAACTCTTCACACCACTGTCAGCCCCACCTTCCTTATAAAGCATGGTGAAGTCACAAAAAAAGGCAAAAGTTTAGCATACTTAGATCTACCTGAAAAAATGCCTGAGAAAGGCTTGTGTTTGCCTCCCATACCGCACACCATCTCTTACTGAGCCCAGTGTTGCCAAGTTCTCCCCCATTGCTGGACAGAATTGCTATTGACTCAACTGAACACCAGATGAAATGGTTGGCTTGCACTTAGGAGCTATGTTGTAACAAAACAACAACAACAACAACAAAAATGGCACTTTCTCTTTAAATATTGAAACCACATTCAGTGAGGTGAGATGCTTCCTGAGAAGCACATGATCCTGTCTGAGGTAAGAGTCAGATATGCATCACCCATTTTCCCAGCTGCTGTTTCTGTACCTGCTAGGAGAAGGAAATGTTACCTCCTCGCCCTGCCTACCTCAGCAGCACCTCTGAAGATAACTGTGGGCGCCTGGTTAAAACACTCCCGATAGCTCAAGTTGGTGAAATAAAATCTCCTAAATCAATTTGTCATGTCAACCCTAAGTTTTATGCAGCCAATATTTACAATAAAGTAGCATCAGTTCCTATGACAGAATCTCAGAGTTATGTGTACTTTGAAGAATCAGTCCAATTCCCCACCCAGACAAGGGTCCCATCTACCACAAAGAAAAGGGCAGTGCAGTGCAGACGCAGGTGCCCTTTTCAAAAAGGTGATCGATTCCTTGTTGAACTTGAGACATTTTTCATTCAATGCCTTGATCTCTGCTTCTTTAGAACTTCCACTCACTGATTTTAGTAATGTCTTCTGCAGCCACCACAAAATAAGTATTCTTGCATGTGACAGCCCCTTAGGTATTTGATGACAGTAATCATGACTCCTCTCAGGGCATGAGTACCAAAGCCCTCTATCACCATCCCAGACACCTGCCTCTACATATACAACATTTACCAGTGTCCCCATTATAGTGTGGGCATGACTATGTGTGTTTACTCTAATGGAAAAAACTCCATTTGTCTTATAACAATGACTGCAAATCCAGAGTAATTGTATCTTAGGGCTATAGGTTGAAGAGTCCTTTCAGATATATCCATTTTATTGATACAGACGATGGACACACACACAAAATAATCACCACATTAATTCCACAAAAAGGAATTCAATTTTTAAAGTTCCCCATCATTTAAATATTTGAAATGATTCCTGGGCTTATGGTTAAGTTCTTGCATGCCTGCTATCTCTAAAGTTTATTTTTCAAGGATCCCAAGCAGAATCAAGATACTGAGATGTTTTATGTTTTCTAATGTTCAGAGATAATCAAGAATGTCTCAAGAATATTATGATCTGGTGAAGCCATTAACTTTGATATGAGTAAGTACTTATTGAGAACAGACTGAGGCCATCTCCCTAATAGTTTTAATAGCTTCTGAACAAATGGAGTCTCCTAAATTTTCCCAATTCCATGGTTCTTAAAAGACCTATGGTTGAGTAATTCTACCAATGACATACTTCTTTCTGTTATCTGTCCTGGTTACTTCCTGGGCCTTGCAATGACTAGGATGTATAACATATATAGGCCAGGATGTATACTGTGAAATCTGTTTGTGATTTTTCGCTAAGAGTTGACAAGTTTAAAAATACAGTGTAGGAAAAGTACTTGTAGTTATGAAGAAAGATGGGAGAAAAGTGCCAAATGAGCTTGTAATGAGGATTTCTCAGTGTAAGCATATGTAAAAAGAATTTTGAGATATAGACACTATAATAAACAAAAAACGACCAAGCTAAGTTCTTAAGAAAGCTTAAAGATACAAGATCCTGCTGATTATATGTACAAATAGCTTATTCCACTTTGTTCCCTGTTAATGGATCAGCATATTTGGCTCCCCAGAAACATTTCAGACAAAAACATAGTAACACATTAGTCAGAAATATAGCTTTTTATTATAATATTTCATAATCTAAAAACTTCCTTTTTAATTCTTGGAAGAGAATATTCCAACTTCCAGACAACTATCCGACCCTGTAAAATTGTGTCTAAGAAATCTGGATTTTGTAGTTAAGAATCTGTAACGTAGTTTGGGGGTAGGGGTGGGGGTGGGGAGGAAGAATGAAAGAACAGTTCAAATACAGATTTTTTTTTTCATTACAAAATAAATTAGATCCATTTTTTCAGTTTAACCTTGAACATGTTTTCCCAGAAACTTTGATTTTTCTTCCAAAGAGAAACTCTAAGATTGGCTTCCCATGTGGACAAGAAAAAAAAATTTTTTTTTTTTTAAATAAGACATGGCACACGGCTCAGGCCATGGCATGAAGTGGGATACCCTTCTGAGTGAGCCAGCTTCCACGTCCAATGGCAAAGTTATGTGTCTAATGCATTTCTTGTGTGAGGGTCAGACTTCAATTGAATTTTTTTTTTAAATTGTAATATAATCTTAAAATCATTTGTCTGTGTAATTACATAGAGTAGATATGACATTATGGCGCTTTCTGGAGATCACTGGGTATCACTGTTAAAAAGAGCTTTTTGTCTTCTAGCATGTTAAATGGACTTTGAAAATGTTGTTTTCACTAAATAAAATTAGAAAAGAAAGTTTGGTTATACCATCTTTAAAAACAAGCTGTGTTACGGGGACAATTAGCATGCAATACAACCAACAAGTCAATTTTTTAGTATGTAAAAGGCTAAAGTGAATCGTGGCATAAATACCAATAAGAAATAATCTTGGGGAAGATCAATTCTCCAAATTAATCATATAACATCACAATTTTTACAATGTTAGCCAGAACAGTGTTATTCACAGCAATGTTTTCTTCCACTTGATAGTTGCCTATACACTACATGAACTGCCCACACCCATGAGTCAAAAGTTAAAGCCAAGATTCAAAATTCAACATTTTCACTGTAACAGGCTAAAAATATTTATATAATGATAAGTTACACTTTTCAACTTACTGTCATTTTAAGTAATTGCTCAATTACCTATTTTTAATGCACTGCTAATCTGATGCTTATTGTAATAACAACCATAATTCTACTAATATTAATTAGGTTACAGTTTTAATTTTTTAAATGAGAGAATTCAATTTACATAAACTAACATACATAGTTTAAAAACCACCCATCACAAACACATACCTTTTCCATGAGTACTTAAAAATAAATTAATATACTTGACATAATATATTTTATATGTTTTATATATATGTATATATTTGTGGGCATAATTATTCTTACTTCTGGAAGGATGTCAGCACTTGTAAACTCTGCAGGAGATCTAATGATAAACACTAAGTTTAAAAAACATGAAAATTCATTCTTGAAGAAAATCATAAAGCAGGAGGTTCTTAACAGATGGGTCTTTTGGAAATAAAGGCCATTTTAGGGCGGGAGAGGAGGACAGTCTCAGATTCCAGATCCCACATGTCCTGTTTATTTCAGAAGCTACTTTAGAAAGCAGTGCACAATGACACTTCAGATAGCCGGCTGAAAGGTAAGATCATAAATTTTGATCCCGAAAGGGCACAAAAGCAGCAGGAGGTGGACAAGGTAGGCCAGCCAGGGAGAAAGCCATGCCTGCAGCTCGCAGAGAGGCCGTGGACATTGCCAGGGGAAGGTCTTGGGAAAGGGCTCGTCTCCAGGATGGTTTGCAATGCACTGCCCGTGCGATCCGCTGACATCCGACCATTCAGGCCCTGAGCCCATGATGGGTTTTATGTCCTCCTGCAATCACAGCAATAGAGACAGCTGTTAAGACAGAGGCCAGAGCACGGTCTTAGGGTGCAGAACACCCAGCCAAAGAAGACAGCAGAGGTGCACCGAAGTCTGAACAAACATGCATCCGGGGAAACAAAACACCTGGGTCAAATACTAGTAAACAAGCTGGAAAACAGTCCATCCAAATGAGAACTGAAGTTGAATAGACGAGTCCTTGTAGCAACCCCAGCGCCAATGTCCTGCTTAACCCGAATACACTGGGAAACGGGAATTCGTATTTTGGAGGCTTTCAAACCAATTGACGGGAAGGTTAAAAACAAACAAAAATACTTTTTTCACTGCTATTAAGAGAATTTATATTCTTGTTCCTCATCTCACAGTTTTGAGAGCAGTGGATACAGATGAATCTTTTTCAGCACTTGGCATCTTGTGTGGCCTTGGGTCCAAGCACTAGCACTGCATAGAATGCCAGATGCAGAAAGAACTGAACTGGGCTAACTATTTTAGAACATGTACCTTTTTGTTACTAAACTTTTGGGAAAGACTGCTTCCTTTTAAAAAATTATTTCTGTAATTTGCCTCTTGCTTTTACAAGAAAACTGTAATAAAATTCTGGTTCCCCAAGATGTCTGTTTATAAAATTCTGACTAATCTACATGATTGCACGAACAGGAAGTAAAGGTGTTAGCCCTTTGCTTTCTCATTGTGTCTTACTTTGGGGTACATCTAAAAGAACATTATTGTTAGCCCCTATGCAGGCGTCCTCAAACTTTTTAAAGTGGGGGCCAGATCACGGTCCCTCAGAGAGCTGGAGGGCCAGACTATATGAACTACTAATTCCTACTGTAACACCTCGGCTGCGCTCACTGCCCAAAAAACCTGGCGGGCCGGATCAGACTCCTCTGCGGGCCGCATGTGGCCCGCGGGCCGCAGTTTGAAGACGCCTGCCCTAGAGCAACATTCCCCAAAGCCCAGGGGGATGGTCCAGGCCACCCACCCTTTTAGATGATGTTCACGAGCGCTGTTGGCTTTTTCTTGGCCATTTTGGGCCTGATATTGCCTTTCCGACTTAATCCCAGAAGCTCCCCTTTCTTCAGCGGTCTGTAGAGTTCTCTTGGAGTGTCAGCCTGGTCGTGAATGGACTTAGCAGGCTGCATGCTGGCCCTCTCCTCCTTGGCTTTTTTCAGGTAGCTCCTTCCCTTTGGATGAAAATGAGCCTTGAGATCAGGGTGGTTACACGCTGAATGTGGGTGTCCTCGGCTTCTACAGATGATCGGGTGGGAGGAGGGAGATGAGCAGAAAGATTAAAAAAAAAAACAAAAAAAAACTTAAAAGAATGAAAGCTACCTATAGCACAATCACTCCTGCATGCTACAGCAGGGATAATGCTGCCAATAAAACAAATGACATATATTGGTATTTTTTTTCCAAAAATTCTGGTGACCTTCATGAAGGGAACTCATGAATTTGCATTCTCAGCGACATATAGAGAGGAACAGAGATTTAAATGACTAGCCAGGATAATATATACAGTTGGTCTACAGAGAAGGTGGGAGCAGAATCCATATCTCATGAATCTTTAAGTAACCACTAGGGGACTCAGACAAATTTGCAAAACAGTTATTATAAAATATGTGATTCATGGTATAAGTGCATATATATAATATAGTACACATATTACATTGATAGTATTATAGAGCTATTATGATTAACTATAGCTTAATAAGAGAAAAATTATACTACATAATACCATATAAATACTCCTATAGTACTATCATACTGCCATAGACTACTAGACAACTGATAGCATAACTAAAAGTCACATGAACCCTGGCTGGTGTGCTCAGTGGTTATAGTGTTGACCCCTGCACCAAAGAGTCTTGGATTTGATTCCTGGGCAAGGAGATGTGCCTGGGTTGCAGGTTTGCTTCCTGGCTATGGTCAGGACATGTGTAGGAGGCAACCAATTAATATGTCTTTCACATTTAATGTTTCTTCCCCCTTTTTCCACTCTCTCTAAAAATCAATAGAAAAAATATCTTTAGGTGAGTAGTACCAAAAAAAATAAAAAATAAAAGTCACACTCACATTTTAGAAAGTTAACTACATAAGCTAGTGAATTTTTACCTGAGACCCTCAAAACCATTTACATTATAGATGCCAAATAAAATGCAACAGGAAAACATGCAAACATTATCATATGGCCAAAGTATAAAAAGGTATACATACAGGCATCTGGGTTTCCTATTTGAAGAGCTATCTGTAAGCTAACGGAAAACAAATAAGAAAAAACATTACTTAACATGAAGATTGAATCTGGTTTATAAAATCTTGCTTAGATTTTAAAGGAACAGTATTCCCACTAAGGAACCAGGAGCTACTGGCAGCATCGCCCATGGTGCCCTCCACCACAGCAGCGAGCAGGCACTTCTCACGCTCTGCCTCCGCTCACTCAGGGAGCCTCTCTGGCTTCCTGTTCTGAGATTTGCAAGAAGCTAACGCCAGTCCCCCAACAGAGCAACATTTGAAGAAATATGTTTTTAAAAATTGGAATGATGTACCATTATTTCTTGATGGATTCAAACTGCATTTGCAGCTAATTTACTACAGCTGTGGTTGGTTACAGTGTATCAACTAAGGGAAAAATTGGCATAAAATGTTTATTGCCTAAAATACGTAATTTCTAAAACCAGAGCATATGAAGACCAACAACTTCATGATTGTCCCTGAGGCCATCTAACATTGAAATTATTTTTCACTCCTATTAAAATATCTTCATGAGCATTCGTGGCCAAGCTAGAAATATCATTTTCAGAATAAATTGATAATTATCATTTTGTGATCCAGATGTCACCATCCATTTTATAGGCCAACCCACTGTATCCCAAACCTTCTGTTGCTGATCTCCGTCACTAAAGAATTGGTAGGAAGACAAGCAGAAGATGAGAAAGACAAAGAAAATGCAGGGCCCAAGGTGGCCAAGTCACGTGCCCCCTGCTGGACTAAACCTGAAAAATGAGGCTCAGCATAGATTCTTCTGTCTGCAGCCTGAGCTGTAGTCAGGAGCAAATCAGAAAGAAGTTTTCTTAACTTTTGAGGGTCATGTCCCCAAGAAGATTGCCTTCTGCTTTCTGACAATCAAAGTCAGCCTTATTGTTGACTCTGTTCACACTGGCTGGCTTTGGCATGAGGTTAGTAAATATGAACAGAAAAAGGCACCTTCCTTACAAGAGGGTTGTGAGAGTATGCAACATACAAAGAAGGTGGGCCAGCTGAAACCGGTTTGGCTCAGTGGCTAGAGCGTCAGCCTGGGGACTGACAGGTCCCAAGTTCGATTCTGGTCAAAGGCATGTACCTTGGTGTGGGCACATCCCCAGTAGGGGGTGTGCAAGAGGCTGCTGATCGATGTCTCTCTCATCGATGTTTCTAACTCTATCCCTCTCTCTTCCTCTCTGTAAAAAATCAATAAAATTAAAAAAAAAAATAAAAAAGAACAAAGAAGGTGGGCCAGATGGCTCCAAAAAATAACAAAAAAATAATTTTTCACTTTACTGTATGGGTGTATACATATAGTTTGTATATGTATTGTTTATGTGTATACACAAGACACTTTGGGATTTTATGAGACAGAGAGATGGGGGGGAGAGTGGGGACAGGGGGGGAGAAAGAAAGAGAGAGAATAAATATGCATGCATATGCCTCCCTTTCTGGGGAAAAGGCCAACAGTGTTTTCAAATGTTCAAAGGAGTCCCTGACTTCCAAAACATTTTAAGAACCACAATCTCAGCACATTTATGGATGTAACTAATGGACCCTGCTGGTACCTCAGGAAACAGGAATAATTTACTGTTCATTACAGAAAAGGAAATGCAGACATAAAGATAGGTAAAGATGAACCATCACCTCACATATGGTATCATAAATTGTGCATGTCTATACATCACACATTGGGTAAAACACTCACCATGCAACAAGCACAATTAACCCTCAAAACAACCCTAAGAGGTAAGCCTTATAATCCCCATTTTTCAGATATGGAAACTAAGGCAGAAAAGTTAAGTAGCTGGTTAAAGCCTCAATGCTTTACCAGTGTTAGGACTGAACTTCAAACCCAAGTCTTCACTCTGCAAGGCCTCCCTAAAAAACATGTGTTTGTATACAAACAAGGAAATGTAGACAGAAAAAGTTAAGTGGAACTCATGGCTGGATCAGAATATCTCCTGTGATCCTACAGATGATGAGGTTTGGGTGAAGGTGGGACCAGTTACCACACCCTGTGGACTTTCACGTGCTCTCCTCCCCGTGAACGCAAGAGGCCACTGTTTCTTTGAGCCCCTAGGGCCTTCGGCAGCCCTGCACACTCAACTGCTCAGACCAAAATCTCATATTCATTCTGGATTCCTCCTATCCTCACCTGATAAATCTAATCCTTCAGCAAGGCCAAGTGATCTTAACCATTCTACTCCCAGGACACATTCCATACCCATCACTTCTCTTTGCCTCCGCTCTATCCAAACTGCCACCTCCTCTCCCCTGCCACACCACAACAGCCTTCCAACACTTCTCTCCTTCTTGCACTCCTCCATTCAACTCCCCAGAGAGCACCAGGCTTTCTGCTAAAACCCAGGCTACCTCCAACATCAAACCCGTCAATGGCTTCCCTCTGTGCTCCAAACTCCTTACGGGACCTACAAGCCCCGGCATGACCTTGATCCTTCCCAACTCTCTGACTTCATCTGCTACCATTCAAGTGTACCAAGTCTGTTCCCTCCTAAGGCAATTCCTATTCCCTTGCCTCGAACATTCCACTTGCGTATTTTCAGGGCTGGCTCGTTGTTATCCAGGCCACAGTGCAAAACTGCCTCCTCAGCAAGGCTTTTCCTGGAAGGGTTTCACTGAAGCAGACATCTTACACGTGTTATCTGACTTCGTTCTTGATCAGTGGTTATCGCTTTCAGAATGATCTCCCTTATTTGCTTACTTGCTCATTGTGAGCCCTTCCTCACTGAGAGCAGGGGCCTCTCCCATCTCCTTCACAGCAGTTCCCTCAGCAAGCAGTAAGCGCTGCGGCAGCCCCAATAAGCAAGTGTTCAATGAATTACTGCTAGTCCTCATTTAGCAGCCTGCAGGAAATAAATGCAACACTTAAAATAAGATTATCCAAGCTGTTTCATGACCTTCTGTGTGAGCAGTTCTGTCCGTGATTTTTTGGCAGATGGGATACTGGGTCACTTTGTGTCTAATTCGACAGCATTTTTCAGAGCATAAAGACAAAATATCTGAGTAAGCAGAGTACACTTTTAGAAACCAACCAGGTGAAAAAGAACAAACATGCTCAAGGGGATTAAGGGAAAGAAACAGATGCCAAAACATTATTTTAGAGAAGGCATTAAATGGGAAGGGGCGGGGGAGGAGGTTTTTCTAGAGCACAAAAGAATCTTAGAGCTAGAAGACACCTTGGAAAGAATTAAATTATACACCGACTTAGAAATGTCACTGCTATCTGGAGGTGGTAATGAGAAATAGAGGAAGGAGTGGAGGAAGAGAACTGGGGTGGATGGAAGAGGAGATAAATCCACACTGTGTTCTATGTGTAACCTTAGCTGAGATGGCGAGAGCCAGGCCAGGCTGGGCATGGTATTCCCAGCTGCTCTGAAAGAAGCGGCTGATGTGTGGGGGGAGTAGGTCAGAATGTTCTGCGGATCCTGGGGTATGCTGGGGCCCAGAGCTCCCCTAGGTAGGTGGGTCTGAGGCTCCAGAAGCCTGGCCTCTTGGTGCTCTGGACCTTCACTAAGCTGGGCCAGAGGATAATAAAGACACGATCCAAAGCTTCTCCTGCTAAAAGCACCCAAGTTCCTCTGTGTCTCTAGAGCCACAGATACCCTGGGAGGCCAGACTCAGTCCTTTAATTACATCAGAGACATGGCTCCTAATGTCATAGGTGAGTGTATATGATGATGATGATGATGCAGTAGACTAAGTAAAAAGGAGACATGTCCCAGGGTCTGCAGATTGTCTCACAATGTGGTACGTTATGATTCAAAGCAGAGTTAGGGGACTACACATGAGCACAGGGGAGCCTACACCTGCTAAATCCTTTTATAAGTCAAACACCTCACTCTTGGTCTTCTCAGAGAGATATACACTCCCTCCACTAGTCAGAGTTTACCGCCCAACAGCCCGATCATGCTCTACTCTCAAGCAGCTCCCACATCCAAATTCCCTGTTCTACTCTGAGCTGCCCTTTATTTGAATTATTCAAGTCTTCCCTTGGTAAATCAAGTCTGATGAAGGCAGATGATGTATGTCACTCATATTTGGGACACAGAGAGCATGGACATAAATATTCATTAATTTTCTATCATGCTTCTTTATATGTATGTATGCATGTGTATACATGTGCATATGTTTATATGTGTGTATACGTTGGGCGTGCATGCAAATATACGCATCTGACTACAAAGCAGAGATGCTGTTCAACTGTTGGTCACATGGTACAGCATGACAAGAAATAATGACTGGCTACTTCTTATAAAAGGTGTTCAATTTTCAAGCAATTGAAAAATAAACTGAGCAGAGGAAGTGGGCACAGAAATATAAATAACAGAGAGAACTAATGGTCTTCCTTGCTTTCTCCTGGCCTTCCACTGTTTTCTTTCTAATATCTTCCTGGCTTGGCCTAGTAGAATTTTAACACTTCTTAGCTCTGGGTTACTTAAAAGCCTGAAGACTGAAAATATTCATGCTACGCTTCAATTTTAGAATTCCAAATCCACCAAAGTCAGGTGATGAGCAGGGGATTTAATTGAATATTACTTAATATAATATTCAAAATATTTTATAGAGCATGCTTCATTTTTACAGAAGATTTAAAAGCCCAGGAAGACAAACTATCTCTTTGGAGGGTCTCTCATTCTACAAGTATAAAAACATTTCTACCAATTCAGCTTGGCATGGAGTTGGAGGGTGAAGAACTGGAGACTGTGCATCAGAATTAAGCTTATTTCCTGATGCCTGGGGTTCACCTGTATCACTTCCATAACACAGGTATGGCTAGACAGGACTATCAAATGATGTCTAGAGAATCCCTATAAGTCACTCCCCAGCTCCCTTTTCCTCTGTCCTTAACTGGATCTCACCAAACCTAGGACCTCACACTCTGGCTGAACCTGCAGGACTTATCACACTTACCACATGCTCGTTGATGTCCCGGCAAAAGCCTGCGGCCTGCTGGCTCTGATAGTACTCCAGCTGCTTTTCTGCCAGTTCTACCCGCTGCAACAAATTCTCAATAAAGTCCTGGAGCCGAGCTTTCCCTTGAACCTCCTTCTCAGCTGCTGCTTCGAGGAAATGGTTGAATGTTACAACTTCTCTGCAAGGAAAAGTAAAAAAAAAACAAAAAACAAAACCACAAAATGGAGAAATGAGACAGGAATTCATTCCTTCGACACATTTTATTGAGTGTCTACACTGTCAGGTACTGCCGTAGGCTGGATGGGCTCAGCAATGACAAAAGAGCTAAGATTCCATTTTAGTGTTCACATGTAGAGATTACAATTTTAGTAGCAGAGAGTCACTATAAAATATACAAAAAAAAAGAAAGAAAAATGCCAGGTGTGGTAAGTTCTAAGGAGAAAGCTGACACTGGATGCCAGAAGGCAGAGAGTGACAGCAGAAGGGAAGGGGTGAGTGATATTTAGAAAGCAAAAGTCAGGGATGACTTTTTGGACAGGATAACATTTGAGCAGACACCTGGGAAGAGTTCAGGGGGAAGTGCAGATGGGTCTATGATGCAGCAAGAAGGCCTAGGAAGTGGGAACAAAGTGGGGCAAGGAGAGGGTGGTGGGAGCAGACAGCCAGGCAGGGCCTCACAGGTCACTGTGATGATTCCCAATTTTATTATAAATGAGGTGGGAATCCACTGGACACTTTTGAGAAAAGATCTGACTTATATTTTAAAAGGGGAGAGAATACTACACAGAGGGAAGGTATGAAAGCAAGAGGCTGTGCTTAATGCAAGTGTCTAAAATGAGTCATCTGGTCCAACAGTAGATGTTTGGGCTAAGAATGAAATAGCCTAAGAAATGCTATCTTGATGTCAATCCAGGGCCCACTAGGAAAGCTACTTTAGTTGATGTAGGAGAAGAATTGTACATGTTGCCTTTCCCTAAAAAGTTGTGCAAAATACCCCAAACAATACTCTTTTATCTTCTTAATTCCTTATGGATTCACAAACCCAGAAAAAAAATTATTTTATTACTATTTTATGTTTTCTTTTTATTGCTAATGCAAGTATGAAAGTAACATTTTGGAAGCCATCTCTGGAGCACCTCTATGCATGTGTGTATGCATAAGCGCCTCTCTCTCTCCCTCTCTCTCTGTGCTTAGCCTGTTTCTCAGGTCATGTTCCAGGTAATCAACATTACCAACAGGTGTGTAGTACCACAGTTCTCCTCAGCCAATTTGCCTCTCTTAATTAGAAATCATGAAGATCCGTCCAGCCATCTCCTCTGTATGTTCTGCCACTCCCACTGGGGATAATGAATTCCATAATGTTAATACCTGTTGGATATAGTAGTTTCCTTTGTGTCTTCAATATCTCTCTCAGCCTTTGAGGCGTGACCCCTCATTTTTCTGGCCATGCTCAACTTATACAGCAGCAAGATATTTTCTTAAATTATATATTTTATTGATTTTTTTTTTTATAGAGAGGAAGGAAGAGGGCTAGAGTTAAAAACATTGATGAGAAAGAAACATTGACCGCAACCAAGGTACATGTCCTTGACCGGAATCGAACTTGGAGCCCTTCAGTCCACAGGCCAATACTTTAACCACTAAGCCAAATCAGTTAGGGCCAGCAGCAAGATTTTAAACAATATCCAGCCTCTTTCATTTTAAATAAATGAATCCTACTGTTAAAATCTAACCTCATACAGTTGTTCTAGAGCAGAGGTGGGGAACTTTTTTGTTCTGCTGAGGACCATTTGGATATTTACAACATAATTTGTGGGCCATACGAAGTTATCAACTTAAAAATTAGACTTTTATATTTGGTTAAACATTTAATTAGCTCGCCACAATGCCTTGGCAGGGCTGGATTTTGAGAGCCTTATATTGCCCGTGGGCCAGACATTCCCCATCCCTGTTCTAGAGAGTCCATTAAATTAATTGCCTACTTTGCATCTTTTCAGCCTCCACTTGATCTTTATGTTCCACTGAGCTCACTAATTTCTTACAAGTAGAAACATCAGGGAAGGCCAGCTCAGGAGTCACAGTTTCACAGAAAGTCTTTGCAGGGAACTGGCTGTAGCTTCCAGCTCTTTTCTGTCTGACTAGTCAAGGAGCTGCTTTTGTAATTAGTCACCATTTTTCTCTCACAAATATATTATGTCACACTTGGCCATACTGAGACTTCCTATAAAGTCAAATGTCTCTGCAAAACCTTGGGAATGGTATATTTATTTTAAAGCGACTGGTTGTCAGAAATGATTCACTGGAAGAATTGCTCAGTATACCAGCCACCATGTTTCTATTTTCCTACCAAGGATCAAACATAAACCCCAATCCCATAATAATTCCATTATCTTTTGGTAGTCAAGAAATAGTCACCCATGAGAAATAAGAGTCCTTTTGGAAAAGAGTTTTCTTTCATCATCAAGTTTCAAGTTTATTTCCAGATGTTTCCGTAAGAGCCCTGAATAGAAGATGTGGGCTTTCCAAGCTGCTCAGGCCATGGACACAAGCCAATTTTCAAGCTCCACTGTCATTCGGCTTTGATCTGCCCCCTAGGTGAGTCATGAACCTTAACTAGCAGCAAGGTTAAGTGGAGGGACCGTCTGAGTGCTACATTCGTGGCTTCAACTTCTGGCTGAGACCCTTTGGAGAGAGTATCTTCACATCTCAAAGGCACCACTGAAAGCACAGCTCCTCCGTCCTCTTCCCAACAGTAAGGTTTTAATTGATTCGGCATCAAACTGTCTGCAGAGATTTCCTAGGTGCAATGTAGGTTGTTAACTGAATCATGAAACAGTCTCCAAATGGTACTACTGGGAAAAACAACCAAAAACCCATAAAGCCTCATTCACCAAAACCTCAGAAAAAAACAGCCACTGTGTTTTTTCAATTCATTTTGGTTTATAATACTGGTCATATTTATCTCATGATAGAAAGATTTCACACTTACTATAGGATGTATGAAAGCTGACCTATTTGAAAGATCTAACTGAGTAAGGGCAGAATCAGCTTCATTCTCTGCTCTAAGCCCCTCACTCAATACAACACATGACACATAATAATCAATAAATGCTCGTTGTAATGAATGTTTAAAAAGGACAAGGAGGAAAACAAACAAACAAAAACACCCACAATCCCATCATCCAGAGGTAACTACTGTCACCATTTTTTCTAGTCGTCTTTTTCTCTCTGCATATTAACTATTCTTGGACTCTCTGTTCTGTTTAAAATATAAGACAGCAATAGTTGACAGCTTAATCCCACAGGATTAACATCTCAAAATCAGGAAAACAAATCTGAACGCGTTACTGTGGCTGTGTTTTTAAATCATGTCATGTCTTGCTGCTTGTTCCCCTATAAAACTTTTACGAATTAACGTTAATGCTCCTAGCTGTTCCGTGGAGGGTTATGTCATGTTGGAGAAGAGAAGCATCTTTTCCTAACTTTCCCCTCATCCAATTATCTTGTGCCCTGAAGCCGAGAAGTTAATACCCTTTGTATTTGTCAACCAGAGTGGCACCAATGCTAACCTAATTTCAGTTTATAGGTGTTTCACATCAACTTTGGAAAAAAAAAAGAGAGAGAGTTAAAACAAGCCTGATGATTTAATTTTAAAAGAGAAGTTCCCCAAGACAGGAGCTGGAGAAATCCATCCTACTGAGGTTGCGTTTGAGTGTCCAGATTAATGAAAACAGCGACAAAGCCCATGACTGACTGGGGAGAGGCATGTGTGCACGACTTTGGATCCCCTTTCACATCCTGCGCAGTCTGGGTGAACAATGTCCAGAAACACCTCCCATTTCCCCAAGGATCTGGGGAATTTCCTGAATGGAAAAGAAAGAATTGAACTACATTGCACTTGTAACCTCTTCGATAATTATAATCCAAAGAGTAAAATACCCACTCACTGGATTTCAAGGCCAGGGAGAACAAACTACTCAGTTGATATGATTTCAGATTCCACGATGCAATTAACTTATAGGAAACTACCAACTGTTGAATTTTGGCATAGTATCAAAGCAGAATACCCACTGTTCTCAGAAAATGGTATTAAAATACCTCTCCATTTTCCTACTTCATATCTGTGTGAGACTGGGTTTCCTTCATCCACTTCAAATTTGCCACAGATTAAATGCTGAAGAACTGAAAAGGTCCAGCTGCCTTCTCTGAGGCCAGGCATTAAAAATATTTGCAAAATGTATGAACAATGCACTTCTTTCACTGAACTGTTTTGGGGGAAATTGTCATTTTTCATAGAAATGTGTATTTATGTTAGCAAGAATAAATCTGTTATCCCTATTTGTACATGAGTTAATACGTGATTTTCAAATTTCTGTTTTAATTTCTAATATAGTAAATGTCAATAGATAAAATTCATGCATGCAAAAGCTTTTTGGGGTCCTCAGATTGTTTTTCAGGAGTGTAAGAGGAAGTGAGGCCACAAATTTGGGAACTGCCTCTTTCTGTGTACCAGAGTGATCCAGAACCTCAGAACTCTGAGGAGGGTGGGCAACATGGGCTCAAACACAAGTAAGGTGAAGCCATAATCCATACACTTAATTATTCCATTACTTAGTCACTCAACAAACATTTATTGAATGCTACAAGGTACTGGGCTTAGTGCTGGGGCATTCATAAACCCATGGTTATATTCATGAAGCTTCATGTCTAACCCAGGGACCAGCCACCTGTTTCTGTAAAGGGCCAGGGAGAAAGTGTTTCAGTAAATGTTTCTGCAGGGCATAGGGGCTCCCTGACACACCTAAACTCTGCCTATGGCAACAGAGCCAGAGGTGACATGAAAACAAAGGAGCATGGCTCTGTAACAATACATGTATTTTTAAAATTACTTTACGAACACTGAAATTGGAATTTCCTATAATTTTCATATATCATGAATAATTATTTTTCTTTTTAATTTTTCAACAATTTAAAAACGAGAAAACCATTCTTAGCTCATGTGCTCCACAAAAACGCGTCGCAGGCCGGATGTGGCCAGTAGTGTAGGGAAGGAGCAGACCTTAAAAGCAACAAGAACTAAAATAAATATGTAATTACAGGGCTGAGCTGACTGTGACTGGAGGAAAAGAATAATATGATGCTATCAGACAGAAGAGTAGAAAGACTTGTGTGGTTCTA